GGATCTGAGGACTTGTTCACACCTGAAGCAAGGCCAGTGAGCCTGGTAGGAACCTGTGTTTGGGCACCCGATCAGCAACACTTGGGTGGGGAGAAGGGAGCATCATCAAGAGATGCAGTACGGCCCAATTCCTCTCCCAGACTTTCACAGGCAAGTGCCAGGATCTTGGCTCTTGCAAACTCAATTACAGCAAAGAGGAGCAATGCAGTGCCTAACCCAGCGATGGAGCTTCATGGCTGCAGCAATTTTTGGTTCGTGGTCATATTCCAGGGTGGCACCAGACTCTTGGCAGGTGCCGCGCTTCATCCTCAGGTGGGCTGCTCTGTACACTGCGTGCCATCCGGCCTCATCCTCAGCCAGGGGCTCCAGCACATAGGCAGTCTCATTCACTCGGAAAAATCCACTGCCAAAAAACGAGGGTAGACATCAGGTCAGGTAGGGGTTACACACACAGCCTCGAAGAGAGAAATACCTCACATGATGCTGCTCTGAGCACGGACCGGCAGGACATGTATGAACACTGCATGCACCTCTGGGAGTACCTCTGCTACAAAACATTGCTGCCAAATCCCAGCTAGGAAACTATCATCTATTGCTTTTCCTACCCATTCACGGTTCCTGTAGGCAGGATGGCACAGGATGAGGTATAGGCCACGACAGTCAGGTCCTTCTGGCCTTGTGCATTAGTTACATTCAGTAGAAAGCCCTAAGCAGCCCTTGGGTGGTCCATTAAGCCCCATGCAGCTGTACAGAGGTAGCAGGTGCAAGCCCGGGACTGAATACCTCAGGCCTCGTTCCCTGCACCCTTGCCCGGCCCCCAAGGGCAGAGCAAGGAGATGCTGCAGAACAGAGCCATTCTTGGACTTGCCAGGAGTCAAGGAGCAATAGGAAACATGTTCATAGCATTCACTTTTGGAGGCTGTGGAACTACAGGCTAGACAAACAGACAGTTAGGGGGTTGGAAACCGGCTGAGCTACCGGGCTGTCATGAGAGTGATCCATGGCTCAGCATCCGTGGACGCTAGCAAGGTTCAGTACTTCGGGCAGGAGAAACCTGATGAGGTGCAGCAAGGAGACATGCTCAATCCTGCTGGGTCATGTTTAACATGGTATTTCTACTGATCAGCTCTGATCTTCAAGATGCTTCCCATAAGGCATTGCAAACTGAAAGACTTTATTTTAAAATCTGCAATATCAGCCATCACAAGTCCAATAAATTGCCCTCGCAGCCTGTAAAGTCAAGATATGTCAGCTACATTATTGTGAAAATATGCAGGCATAGTTTGTTGTGTCTTTCTGAATCTGCATTACACCCGCATGCCTACACATCCCATGTCCTCTGTGTGTATCACCTGGCCCCACTGTACATGTCTCCTGTCCTGCCATTGCACATCTTGTCCTCCTACGACACAGGCATAGCATATATGCCATGTGTGTACATGCTGTGCTGAGCCAGGGTCTCTGCAGAGACTACAACCCACACGTTCAAAATGAGGAAATAGCTGCCACAAAGCCGCAGCCTGACAAGTGGTGTTTGCAGGACATCATTGCTTCTAAACTCCTCCCTTACTTCAGGCACTACCTGCCTTTCTGCCATCTTTTCTGAGAGAGGGACTTGCCTCTTTTCTGGTTACTAGACATGATGTCTTGTAATTTTTGGCTGTCAGCTGATCTTACAAGAAGGAAAACAGCAGACTACAAATCTTCCATGACAAACTGAGCAACCTTCCACGGACTTGGTGGTTTGGGTTACTCTGCAAGGATGCTCTCTTTTGTTAAATTAAGGCAGACCCAAGGTGGCTCTCAAGGAATGAGCAGCAGTGCTGATTGCACTATATGTCCACAGCCCCCCCCCCCGAGAGCCCGCGGTAGGCCGTGAAAGAAGCAGGGCTGACAAGCAAGAGGCAAGGGCCTGCCAGAGTCTGGGGAGCCGTCCCACAGCAGGCTGCCTGGGGATATGGCCAAGGAGATGTCTGTGCCAAATGACTTTTTCTTTGGCCTACAAGAAATGAGAAGGCCAAGAACTGGCCAGACCCTTTGGAGCATCTTCCATAGCTCCTCACTAACTCTTCTAGAGCCAAGAGTGCCCCCACAATGCAGCTCAGCTTCTCCTCTTCCTATGCCCAGAGCACAGTACAAGTGGCTGACCCACTTCTGTGCACGAGCATTCATTTCACATGCCCTACATCCATGCAGGCTGATAGCTTCTCCACGTGAGGACTCTCTCCTTTTCCCTCTGGGGCCTCCACACTCAGCTCTCCTCTGCAGAGCTCATCTACAGCCTCAGCTCTCCATCAGCTGAAGTGGCTGCCAATGAATGGACCAGTGATTCCCCAAGATGACCACATCTTCAGCCTGCGTGGCCCCCATGCACCCTACCCAGAGCTCCCTAGATGGGGGTTGATGGTGAGACATAGCTGGCCTTACGCACCTTCTGCTTTACTTTTCCTTTAAATAGATGCTGGGCCATCTACTCTAGGAGCTCAGCTTGGGAGGTCACCCAAAGGTAACCTCAAATGCCTGCAAGCAGGTTTGTGACTGCGAGCACACACTTTGTGCTGCAGGTCGCAGCACCCTGGGCAAGTCCGCTCTGACCTGCCCCAGGGGGAAAGGATAGCTCCAGTTCCATCCTCAGCCCTGGCAGCTCTCAGGACAAGCTATCTCACCAGCCAGGGAAGGTACCCCTTGCCATGACTTCCTGTTGTGCTCCAATTTCCATTTTCATCTACCCCAGTGGCATGAGTCAACTCCCCAAAAATGATAGGCTAAGCTTTAAAATGCAGTGTGTTTTTCTTTCTGGGCTCTAAGCCACTGAGGTCACATATTCAGCATTCCCATCACCCAGAGGAAACGGACCTTCTTCTTCCCCCCTCTTACGAAAGCTTAGTTCTCGCCTTTGTTAGTACGGTCCCAGAGAACTGGCCCTTTGTCACATCGACTCACCGTTACACACTGTTGACTCAGTCAAGAGCAGGGCTTTGTCCCACTGACCCACCCTTACACAGTGTTGACTTGTTTAATAGTGGCACTGCAACACACAGAGAAAACGAGCCATTGCGATGCCCTTCTGACTCCTGGGTAAATCAAAGGGCCTACCTGAGCCCTTTGCAGGTGCTGATGCTTGCTGCTGAAGTGGCATACCCCCGAACATGGCCTTGATAAAAGCAGTGATCCTGCAACAGGAAAAACAGACGGGTAAAGGCAATTTATACCATGCGGAAAACAGAGAGAAGAGACAAAGAGATCCTGAAGGATGAGGGGCAGTGACCCCCAGGGGAGGTGTCAGTAAAAATCTCCCCTCTTGGCAAACTCCTGTGCAACTGGTGTAGAAAGAGGGAGATTGCTGCCGGGCCTGGGAACACTGTTGCCAAAGCAAAAAGGCAGGGAGATCAGTCCCGCCACAGGCCCAGTGGACCCTGCAGGAGCTCCTCAGGTCCCCAGAGCCATCGTGATTCAGTGTGAAAGCCTGTGAAAGCTAAAACGCACCCTGAGCATCTTGAAGGCCATAAGACCCAACCAGAGTAATATCTCCTAACAGTAAAAGCCATCCTCCCAGGGGCTGTGACACTGTTTTCCGAGCCAAATCTACATCATCGCTGACCTTCCTGCTACCATTTCTTTGGCAGGAAGTGGTCTGCTCTAGGCATAGCCAGACTCTGTGGCAAATAGGTGTCCCTAGCTGTGTCAGGGTGTGAGCTGGGGCTGGTAAAACTGTTGGCCATCTTCTTGGCACAGGGTGCAGGACAAAATGCCTGTTGAGCTCAGCAGGCTGGCTCATGAGGTTCTGACCTGCCAGCAGTGCCTGTGGATCTAGGGAAGAGCTGAGGCTGAAGCACATGCTGGCGAGGAGAGAAGGCAGAGCCCCTCCAGATGTACCCACCATGCCACACTATGTGCCAGCAGCACCTGGCACTTTGCAACATTGTCCTGCAGGTCCCTCACTGTCAGCAGGGCCTCCCTCACCCCAAAACCCACTCTTCCAGGAATCTGTCGCAATACAAACCACATACCTGAACATTCGGCTTTTCCATTATCTCCGTGCCATTGGCCGAGTAATGCGTCTCGGTGTAATGCTGTCCAAGCAGCTCCCTGCAAGAATGGGTGTTAGCAGTGACAACTCTTCTAGGTAGAGGAAGGGAAGGTGATGTACAGGGGGGGCTCAGCATCACGCTGGACCTGTCAGGCCAAATCCTGCCTGCCTCACCTTCAGCACAGTGTGCTCTGGGCTTGGAGGCTGAGGTGCTCCTGAGTGTTATATTTGGATACAACGGGCCCTATTTGGATACAACGGGCCCAGGATCTCCCAGGCTGTGTTTTTCAAGAAAGGAAAAAATGAGGTATTTTTCCTAGCAAGGATCTTGTCTGAAGGGATCCCTGGGGTGGTTTAGATGCAGTGACCCTGAAATCCAGAGCTTCAGTGCCAGGTGACTCACTCATTCAAGGGTGAGTGCAGGCCCTGATGCTATGACACCAGGTCTCAGAGAAGTTATAAACTAGTGTAAAGCGAGTCTCCCAGCTGCCCCAGCCCTCCCTGCCCACTGGCACTCACTTATTCTTCTCCAGATGCAGAACGTAGTCCTTGCCTTCAGCACGGATGCTGTAGAGGACATGGTCCGGATAGATGCTCTGCATGAAACAAAATGACAGCATAAACCCACGTTACCAGGAGCACAAGTTACAAAAGGCCTCTTTGCCTAGATACTGCCCAGAAAGCACATAGGGTCTGCCCACACACCATCAGGAAGGTGACTGAGGGATGGGGAGCCCCTCTTGTCACTGCCCAGAGGCAATGTACACACTCATCCCAGAGGCATCCAGCAAAGACACAGGGAATCAGAAGGAAAGGAAGAAAGTACATCTGCAACAATGCAAATCCCCCACACATCCTGAGATAAAGAACAAGTCATGCCAGCAATGAAACAGTCAGCAAAGGCTTGTTTCCCGTGTCTGACACATGGCCACAGACAGGCACACAAGAAATTTCATACTCATCAGTCACATGAGCTCCTTTTTTTGGGACTGTTCAACACTTACTCACAGGCAGAACCACAAAGCTCTCTGATGCACAAATGCTTTTCTCGGCAGAGACTTCCTTATCTCTGACTGATCTAACATCATGATCTTTGCACTGAAGTAGGCTTAATACCATTTTGTGTCAGATACCTCACAGCATCACTAGAGTGTTGGTGGAAGGGACCTCAAAGAATCTCTAGTCCAACCTCCCATCACCAGCACTGGGTCAGGGCCCAGCACAGCCCTGAAATCACAGAATCGCAGAATGGCCAAGGCTGGAAGGGACCTCTGGAGATCATCTAGTCCAATCCCCCTGCTCAGGCTGCGTCCTCTAGAGCACATTGCCCAGGATCGCGTCCAGGCAGGTTTTGACTATCTCCAGGGAAGGAGACTTCACAGCCTCTCTGGGCAACCTGTTCCAATGCTCTGTCACCCTCACAGGGAAGAAGTTTTTTCTCAGGTTTAGGTGGAACTTCCTGTGGTTCAGTTTCTGCCCGTTGCCTCTTGTCCTGTTGCTGGGCACCACGGAGAAGAGGCTGGCCTCATCCTCTTGACACTCCCCCTTCAGATACCTGTACACGTTGATGAGATCGCCTCTCAGTCTTCTCTTCTCCAGGCTAAATCCCCAGGACAGAGACCTCCCACCTCCCTGGTGACCTGCCCTAGGGCTAACTCCCCCTCTGGGGGAAGAAGATCACATCCCGTCCGTGATCCTTTGTGATCCCCATCCCTGGATGTTGGACTAGAGACTTCCCAGCCATACCATCTCAGTGGGGCCACTAGAAGAGACTATGATCCCTCGTGTGGTGCTCCATGTCAGGCTGTATCCTTGGCACCATGCGGGACCTACTCACCTACCACCTGGGCAAGGACACTCCCTGAGGGCACCTCCTCAGCTCTTACAGGATCCTAAGGTGAGGGACCAGGCAAAAGGCAAAGCAACAGCTCCCACAGGGCTGGCATTCCTCCTGGGTGAGGTGTTCGGCCTCTCCCAAGGAGGATGACGGTACCTATTACCATGTGAAGGCTCAGCACTCCCTGGAGGGAATCTACAACCAGATGGGAGCTGGGGTTAAATGGAAAGTCCTGCTGTCTCAGCACTGCAGTCAGAGCCAGCTAGGTCAGGGAAAAAGGGTTTTCCTGTGAGTCAGTTGCTCTAAATTCCACCCGTTTGTGTTTCCAATTTGCAGCGGTGCTGGGAGCAATAGGCTTCTGGCCACAGAACATCCTCTCTGCATGCTGAGTGAGCTGCAACAGGTTTCCTTAGAGGTAAGGCACCTCAGGCTGCAGACAAGCCTGTCCCTTGCCCAGCCGGCTGCATAAACGTGTTGTGCAGCTGCGAGGAGCTGTTGTGGGTCCCTGACACATTTTTCTCTTATGAACAGTGTCTCACGTGTGACGTGGCCTTCCCTTCTACTGTCCGCCAGCAAAGTGATTCTTTGTTATTACTGGCAGCGCCAGAGCAAGAAGAGGCCCTAAGAAATTGCTGAAAAGCACTTAGAAGGGGGTGGCAGGTCAGAGGGGAGAAGAGTAACTGTCTCTTGGAAAGAACCGCATCTGTTTAAAAAAAAAAAAAAAAAAACCTCTGATAAAGCTTCCCTGAAGCACCTCCTTCCTGATTAGCCATGGCTTTGTAAGCATTCCAGAAGGGAAGGCTTTGAAAGCACAGGCAACTCAGTCCTGCCTCTGCCAAAGCCTCACTAACCCCATGACAGTGCTGAGCAAGCAAAGACAGAGCTGCGGCCCCAGCAAATGGGGCGAGACAAGGGTTTTATTCTAGCTAGTCTGATAAAGAGGAGACCCAAAAAGCTTGCAGAGGACTGGGACATGATTTCTCTGTCCCAGCCCAGCAAAGGGTATTTCTTCCTCTGGTGGTAAGAGTCCACAGATCTCTCTCCCTAGGACAACAGAGATGGGGGCTCACCACACCAGGCAGATCCTACCTACCTCATACTGGGTATCGGCAGAGCTGTGTCACTAAAGAAGAGGAAAAGAAAGTGGATCACTGTGCCACTGCCATCCCCTGCTCCAGCCGCACACATCCACTTCAGCAAGGAGGAACCATCTCAGCTCCTCTGACCCCAATACTCCCATCAGGTGTCTGCCTGCCCAAAGAGTCTCCTCACCCCATCCCCTTTCCCTGGGAAGGCTGGATGCACGCATGACCCTGGACTATACTCAGGCTCCAGCTGGACAATCAAAGGGACCCCACAGCTCCCTGTCGCCCTGTGCTACTGCTCCACTTGCTCTGCCAAGTCCCAGTGATTCCTGCAAAGCACTGAGCTGGGGCTGGCAAGAGCCTAGCTGCCTCCACCCAGGTAGAGGACTTTCCTTTTTGCATCAGCTGGCTTTTGGACACGAGAGGGAAAATCAGCAGTGATATGTGAGCGCAGGCTCACTCGGGGGAAGTCAGCAGCTTGTGACACCAGGTCCTATGCCTGAAAATAACCTTCTCATTTAAATACGTCTCTCTAAAAATCTAGAGCGTGAGGAAAAGATAGGTGCCTCTTCCACAGACAGAAGCGTTTAACTACAAAACCTGAGAAGTCACCTTCACTCAGCTTCCTTGAGTAACACTGATTTAACAAACTGTTTCAACCTAGCACTTTGTGACGGTCCTACTCTTGCTCTGTTTTCAGGTCCCTTTACATGGAGAACCTAGGTTTCCAGCACACCCTTATCACACCCTATCGTGCCCCTGCTAAGCAAGGCTGATGACTCAGGGTGGGAGGGCAAAACCATGCCCTTGCTGAAGGCTGGTATCTCAGGAGATCCTGTGCTGTGAAAACCAGGTTTCACTCAAATATTTATTTCATCTCTAGCCCTGCATGAATGTGTCGAAGAGTTGAACATTTTGATTTAAGTAAAGCCCAAAGAGTGCCAGCCTACTTAAAACCTCACCTGCTGGCCACACCCCACATTTTCTGACTGCTCTGACCCCTTCTGCACCAGAAACAAGCTCTCGGACCATGCCTGTCCCACCAGGTGGCCAGAGGCACTTAACTGCAAGCTACACAGGAGGAGCTGGCACAGAAAACACCCTTCCAGTCACCCATCTCCATTTCAGAGAGGGACTTTTTGGTGGACAAACCCGGCTGAGAACCACGTTCTCAGCCAATGTTACTAGGAGAGCAACCTCCACTTTTGAGGAAGAGGGAGGAAACGGTTTGAATGGCAGGAGACTTTCTACCCTTAACACATCAGGTTTGGGAAGCCCAAGGCATTCCTAGGCCAGATCTAGGTGAGACCAGGTAGACAGCATCAACAGTGATCCCAGAGACGCACAGCTCAAGACGGCAGGTCCCTTCCCACGCTGTCACATGGCCATCTACATGCCACAGGGCACTGTGCCCATGGAAGGCAGAGGGACGTGCAGTTCGATGAGCTCTCTTTGCCGTGGGATCAGTGCAGAGAGAGAGAGAGACGCTCAACACGCTTGGCACAGATGGTGTCTCTAAATAGCCGGGAGAATGTTTAGCTCGTGGACAAGTTTAGGTTTCTAGAGCAGAGAAAACAGATGCTTTCAGGGAATGTTTTTGAAGCTATTTTATCAGAAAGCGTTTGAATCCCAAACGAACGCACTGTACTAAGAGTTCACTAGGAAATAAACGTCCCCATCAGGTCCCCTCCCAGTCCCATCAGGTGCTAAAGTTTTAAGTCTTAAAAGAAATGAATCCATGTGTTTAGCTGAATTTCACTTTTAAGGCATTGAGGAAAGCATCCTTGAGGTCAAGGCCACAATCCCAGGAAGGCCAACCCCGAGTGCTCAAAAATCCTGAATCAAACCCCATCCCCTCCCCTAAATTACAGCATTTCCAAAAAAAAAAAAAAAGCACTGTGGTTCTTTCATGTGGGTGTCTGAAACTTTCTGATTCATGTTTCCCTCCCCCAAAGGATGAAAAAACAACTTAAGAAAACAAAAAAAGAGAAATGCTTATTTCTCAATGAGACTCCACAAACCAATATTTAAGAAAGGAGCAGACATCACAAGATCAGTCCAAGATGCAGGAGAGGGAACGCTGTCAAATGTCTCCAAAGAAAGCATGAAGTAGGCTGTTCCCCTCTCTGAGATTCCACCTGGCTATCAGCAGCTCCTGTTTTGACCCCAAACAATTTATGAAAGCTGCTCTGATCTGATGCTTGAAATCTTGGTCGTCTGGGATGGAGGCAATGCAGAAAGTCTGCACCATGCCATTCATCCAGGCTAAAGGAGGTCCAGCTCTGAGCCTCACTCTCTGCCACTTGCGTGCCAAGGACACCTCACCAGCAGCTGCAGAGGAAGAGGTTTCCAGCAGTGGGCCAAGGTGCCTCACTCAGGTCATGGCTGATTTAAACATCAGCTGGACGTCCTGCAAGGCAGCAAGGGCAGCTGCGTATAGACGGTCAGCTGGGATGCATGTGATTCAGGCTGCAGTTCCCAGTAGTTAAGCCAAACAGACCCCACCACAGTTTTCACCATTCCTCACATCAGCACTGCCTCTACCATGAACCAGTCCACAGAGCTGAACCAGCAGAAAACTTTCCTTTCTGCTTGGGCTTAGTTGCCTGCCTGTTTAGCTCCCTGGCAGAGCTTTTCAGGATGGGACCATGGACAAAAAGCCATCTGGGCTGGCTCAAACCATCAGCTTAAATAGAGCCTTAAAACAACGGGGTGCTGGCTCCCCTCTCCAACCAGGCAGGCTGCTGAGCATGTGGCATTTGAGAGGCAACGCTACTCACAGATTGTGCAGAGAGGCCCCTCTTCCCCCGAGATGCTGGCACCCTGCGAGGCATCACCATCTCGTACTTCTCCACATGGGCAAGCTTCTCCTCTAGGCTGGCAGAGACATCTGAAAAATTCAAAGGGTGAGAGCTTTGGTCATGCTCAGAGCTGGGATGCATAGAAATAACTGTGATGAGTGGGGACAAAGGTGTCTCCAAGACGGCCAAAATGAACGCACAGGGGAGAGCAGAAAAAGTAGGTCAGGTTCTGTAGGTGTGCTTCAGCAAATAGACTGAAATATCCACTGGGAATGCAGCCCGCTGATTGGCTCCAGGGACACCTCGTGCCTGATATATGCGGGGCCATGGCAAGTCTGGCAAAAGGAAAGGCACATTAAATGGAAAAACTTAAGGGGAAAACCTTAGGAAGAAGCAAACGATTGCATGACAATCTGCAGCGTGCCCTCTAGCTGCGCTGCTCGGAAAGATTTCTCTGCTCTGCCGCAGGTGCTCCCCGCCAGCCCCCAGCATTGCTGCCTGGCACTGGCACCCAAGGGGCGCTCAGCATCACCCACTCCTAGGATCCTACCCCAAATCTCCAGCTATCCTCCAGCCCCAGGCACTTACAGGAAAACCTCAGATCTGTTTTTTCAGTCAATGTCTAGCTTCTGGAGCTCCAGAAAAAAAAGCAGGTCCCCTAAAGGCTGAAAAACCTACAAAGACCCTGATGCGTTAATAAATATAGAGGCTTTAAGCTCCCAGTCTCGACGTCACGGTGTGTGATTTGGGGTCTGGCAACTCTCTGGGCTGTGTTTTGCAGAACGGCTTGTGTTCCAGCTGGATCAGCCCCCTCCTCCCCCAACATTGTTCATGCAACAGAAAAAAAAGAAATCCTCTACAGCACCCCCCCCCCCCCCCCCCCCCCCCAAAGCTTGCACCAACACTGGCATTAATGAGATTGCATGAGCCAGTGCAGGGAGCTGATCCAGCTGAAAAACAGCTCCTTTTTTTCCCAGGGGGTTTTGTTTGCCGCTTGATCAGCTCTCTGGCTCTGCTCATACTGTGGATGCAAGGGAAGGCAGGCAAATGCAATGGCCCAGAGCTGGATAAGGCAAGATCAGGCGGGCCCAGCTTCAGTCTTCTCTAGAAGCTCTGGCATTGCCGCCTCAGCTGAGGGTGAGGGCTGTGGATCCAAATTATACCTCTGCTAGGTACAGTTCATCACTCCCAATTTATTATTTGTAAATAATCGGATTTCTAATCCCCACTTTCCACCTCAGAAGTCAGAAACTTCTCCCTCCTCAGGGTGACAAACCATGCAGACCCACGGCAAGCTTTCTCGGGACCCCCAACCTGGGACCTCGCCCAGCAGCCGTCTCCAGACACCCAGCCGTGGCCAGCAGCACCTACATCAGCTGGTTAGAGGCAGCTGGCAGAGCCCCCCGGCGATGGCAAGGTAGCATGCAGGGATCGGGCCAGAGCAGACCGCTCCATCTGTAGGTGCCTGGCAGCCCTCGCCCACAGTGCCTGAGTGGGAGCCAAAAGCCTTGTCACCACCCCCTCGGCGGGCTGAGTCATGGTCCCCCTGCCAGCATGGCACAGACTGGGGATGACAAATTTCCCTCTCTCGCTGCAGACTGATTTAGGTGCAATTACATAATTCCGCAAGCCCCATCTGCTCGCCACGCTCCAGAGCTGCACCACGACTGTACCGCCTGGCTGCCCCAGCAGGGCTACAGGGGTCACCCTGAAAACCGGCTGGGCAGATGAATACAGCCTTGCACTCAAGAGCACCCATGAAAAACAGCTCTTGCTCCTCGCTGCCGCTGCTCGGGTTGTGGGGTTGAAGTCTGGCATCATCAGGCCATCCATCATCAGATCTCTGCAGGTCTGACCCTCGCCGAACAACGGGAGTCAAGACAGGCTGGCAGCAGGGCACGGCAGATCATAGGAGAGGTCTCTGAAAGCACCACACCGGTCCCACTGCAATGAGGAGCACCCATCCCTCCGCAGTGAGGATCGCTGCAAGCAGAGTCAGCTGATGAGGCTTTCTCTGGCTGTAGGGGACAAACCTGGTGCTTGGACAGCTGGGGGAAGCACTTCAAAGCCCGTTTTTCCATCCTTTGCCCTCAACTGATCTCAGGAAGAGGATGACAATGATGAGCATGTAATTACCCTATCAGCCTGATGGTGAGTGCAGTCTCATAGACAAAGCAGCTGAAATCTTTCCGAGCAGCGACTGTCCCGAACAGCCCACACCTCCTCCAGTTAGCAGTCCTCCACACGCCACATCACTGATACTAGCCCTGCGCATCTAACCTGCGCAAGCAAGTCCTTGCATGCACCCCCCCTCTATTCCAATTAATTTTTACGGGGAAAATTGCACCACAGTCCCTTGACTCTCCAGCCACAGCACTCTTCAGGAAAGCATCCTCCAGGCAGCAGAGTACAGCCTTATTCTCCTCTTGAGAGTGAGTTTTGTGGCACAAAACCAGGCTGCGATGCCTTGGAGGTTGTACCACGAGGTTAGCTCGGGCTCCACCGGGCCGGCCCTGGGAAAGTCCCGGTGCAGCGGCCGAGCAGGGCAGGCAGCTCCCGCAGCTCGGGTGTCACTAGACGGTTTCACTGCCTGTAGCCCAAAAGTTCGCACCCGATCGAAAAAGCTCATTTTTAAGCCCGAGGCGTTTCTGGGAGAAGATACATCGTTTCTCTCAGAGACCGGCTCGCTAGCTCGGGCTCCACCGGGCCGGCCCTGGGAAAGTCCCGGTGCAGCGGCCGAGCAGGGCAGGCAGCTCCCGCAGCTCGGGTGTCACTAGACGGTTTCACTGCCTGTAGCCCAAAAGTTCGCACCCGATCGAAAAAGCTCATTTTTAAGCCCGAGGCGTTTCTGGGAGAAGATACATCGTTTCTCTCAGAGACCGGCTCGCGGTGCTTTCCCGTCGAGGGTGTCCGTAAGCGGAGGGGGAAGAGCTGAGCCG